CGGGTCGGTGCCGGCCGGGAGCCTGGACTCCGGGCTGGGGGAGAATTGCAGCTTTGCTCCCGCTCGCCCTCCTCTACGCAATCCTACGTGATCGAGGTTTGGATGAGAAACATCGCGCAGGCAGAGCGAGGCAACTGCAGCTTCCGCCGCGGCTCTGCCCCTCCGACCGGGCGGCCCCCGGGCCGGCCCCGCCGCCCCCGCGGGGAGCCGGGGGCTTTCCCGGAGCCGCAGCCCCGCCCGGCCCCGGTCCGAGGGAGCCGCCCGCCACTCGTTGCAGCCACCCCGGGCACCTCCTCGGCCGTTGCTGGGGGTGCCCGAGCACCCAGCCGCAGCAGCCGGGCATCTCCGTGGCTTTCCCTTGCTTCTCCGTGCAAGCAGAGACGGGGCGGGAGCCCCCGGCACCCCACGGGCTGCGCTGCCGCGGGGAGGAGTCGGGGGTCGGTGCGTCGGCTGGGGAGCGGGCAGGCCGGCTGCAGCGGTGGGCACGACCGGGCTGCCTCTGGTTAGAGCGGTCCGAGGCAGACCACCGGTTTATCAGCAGGTTGCTCTGCTAGGGCCAGCCCGCAGGAGCCGGGTGGGCTCCCTTGTATCCCCAGCCACAACAAAATTGAAGGTGCAGATATACATCCCTGTTTATCCAGATAAGTAGCTGCTGTTGCTGCCGTAAGAATGGTGCTCTCCAGATCTCAGGTTCAAGTAACAGCTAGTGAGTGTATGTGCAGGAGGTGATGAGCAAGATACTTGGGGGAGCATAGAGCAGTCAGTCAGGGTGGAGGGACGGGGGATCTCGGCTGGGAAGAGAAGACCTGCCCAGCTATGCTTTGGCCAGTGCCAGTGGCAGGACAAGACTAATCCGGTCCTGAAGGTGTGGGGGTGAATCATGTGCCCAGCTGAAGAGGGCACTTTAAACCAGTTTGTGACACCCCCTGGAACTGTTAACTTCAGCAAAATAATCTGTAACTACTTCACTGCAAGAACTTCAGCTCTAAACTGTTTTAATGGGTTGGAAAAAAAGGCAACTGAAACAACCACAACTATGTCCATAAAGATTAACTAAACTCTGGCATTACTTCCTGATTTTCACTCTTAATCCCTACACATGCCAAAACAAGGTAGAATCAGGTTCTCCGGGAGAGAACAGGGGAGAAAGATATTCAAAACCATTTGGGAGATATAAATGTTTGGCTGTTGATCTCTTTTTAACTGCTGCCAACTTTTTTGAGCAGATTTCACTGTCCCAATCAATAAAGATTTTTCTTCCCTTTCCTGTAACTAAAATGCTTCATATTTTAATTTTCTCTGCCGGATTATTACACTTGACATCAAAGAATGCTGCAGTACAAGGTACAGGCATGGCCTAAAGAAAGCTGTTTGCAATCAGAGAATCACTGTCTGAACTGCCAGTGAATTATCCAAAGCTTCATCTTCAAAGGATGTGAGCAAACCTGATATCTGCTCGAGAAAGAGGTTCTCCATCTATATATAAAGATATTTTTTTGCCTGTAGTCTTCAAATCTGGGGTGAAAGAATGCTATTTTATTCCCCTCCCCATATTAGATAAGTTTCAGTTATTTTGACATGCGACTAATTTGTTTTCTTGTGTAGCTGTAAACTAGAGGCAGCAGCTCTGCACTTAAAAAATGATCCTAATCAGTGATAAAGTTGGTCACAGTATTTTCTTTTTCTGGTGATTTGTGAATCTAGAAAGAGAGCTGCTGCAACTCTAAGAAGAAATGCTTCTCCCAGGTCTCTCTGCTTCTGCAGTGATGGAATTAAATTAAAGCAGAGCTTGGGAAATTGAACATAATGTTGCATTTGTTAACATGCAGGTCGGTCTGTATTTATAGATGGCCAAGGAGTCCACAGGGTTTGGTTCTGAACGCAGGCCCAGTGCCATGAACTCCTGGTGACATCACCGGCATGCGCATCTGCTCTGCACCACTCTGGATCATGCCCCAGCTTCACATAATTTTCTGAAGAGTCCATGCTTTTATAAACACTAAGCAAGCCCAGAGCGGTCTTGAGCTGGAGAATTGAAGGCCAACCTCATCATGCTCCTGCACTGTCATTCTTGCAGGTGAAACGTTACCTTTGGTGGGCTGCCAAGTGAAACAGAAAAGCCTCCATGTGCTTTGGTCTCTGCCAGTGGAAGTTCTCTCCTTCAACTTCCATTTGGGTAAACAGGGCTCAAAACATCTCCCATTTTCATCTGTGTCAGCTACTCCTCTTTGAGGGTAGTGCAGCCTATCCGTTCCATACCAACTAGCCCCTGTTGAATCCAGGGGCTGCATTCCTCGTTGCCGCCAATGGAAGCTGAATTTTTTGATCAAACTGGGCCAATATGGCATTTTTCCTTAAGGCACATAATTTTGTTTTAACATATTTATCTAGCTATATTTAATAGAATAAAATCATCTCTATCTTATAAGTTTATTAAGACAATTTTTCTCCCCTGCCTCTTCTACCCTGGGCTCTCTCCTCACCTCCAGTCCCAGTTTGGAAAGCTGCACAGTGCGCACTATGAAGAGGGAAGGAGAGAATAGCACTGATTCATAAAATGTACAAGCAAGACAGTGTTTTGATCACGCTGGAGAGATATGCCAATGCTCCTCCTGCAGTTTGCGGAGAAAGGCCGCATCCTGCGCACAGGAGCAGGCAGAGGGTCAGACTCCCCATGGCTGTTGGAAAATCAGACTCGCAGTGTTTATTAAATATCCCCACCCCACCCTAAGCATACAGGAGTCTATGCATTAGGCACTCGCTATGGAAGGAGGCCAACATAAACATTTCAAGACACTGTCATTTCTGAGGTTTTGTTCACTTGATAAATAAACTCTTCTGTCCTCAGTGCTGAGGTTTAAAATGAAGGCCTGGCGGAATTTCAGGGCTTTGGTGGCTTGAACAGAGAAGATATCTAGAATTGCACTCCCTTACCTTCCTAAACAGAACGATCTATCTAGGTCAAAACGGAGATTATTGGCATCTTTCCTTAGTGAAGTGCAATAATTCCCGCAGGGTTGCTAACAGAATATCCTGTTTATTTTTCATAGAGCCTTCAAAAGCCATGGGCTATGTTCTGTAGATTCAGTCATTAGGCATATCTCTGCTTTACTAATTCTGTACAGACAGAGCTAACTACAGATAGAAGTGTATGCAGGTTTTTTGCTGTTTTATCTGCATAGCTACTGAAAATGCATGCACGAAAGTTGAGGAAAAGATTTAAATTTAATACCACTTTAAAATGTATATGCATATTGCTGTAGTTGAATGGGGAAAAGAAAGACGCCCATCTCTGGCCAATAATTATGAATGGCCTAATTCACCATTTTACAGCAGCATAGCAACAAATCTCTTCCAATAGGAAAGCACTGTTGAGTTTGAAAGTCTGCATGCAGACACCTCTTAAGAATTGTACCCAATTTCCACGCTGTGTAAATTACATCTAAAATGTGCATTGCCAGGGCTGCTTATTAAGCAGAATTAAGCCCATATCCATGTTTTATTAACTTTATTCTTTACAAGGTAGCCCCTTGTTGCATGTCTGGCATAATTAAAATTCATGCAGCTTTGGCATTCCCCAGTCTCTCTGCGTGGGTGGACTTTTTAAAAAAAAAACATGCCTGGGTAA